CCCCCGTTGGTTTATTCAGTTTTTAATCAGACAGTTCATGATGTGCTGCTCTGCTGACAGGTGGGTGCAGATCCATAATAATGGCTGAAGGCCATAAACGACCTCATCTGTCCCTGTTTTCAACCACAAACTCCCAGAGCTTCTAACCGGCCCGAGATGCTGCAGTGGACAGAACCGTCTCTGCTTGTTGCAGCAGCAGAAACTCGTTTGAGGCTCAGCACCAAACAATGACATGGTCCAAGAAGCAAAGGCAACAGGAAGGTAGCATGGAAACCAGTTTGTCTCTACGGCCGATTCAATCATGAGGTAAACATGGCCGCCTCCTTCCAAATCTAAAAAACGGCCAATTCAAACTTCTCACCTGTTTTTTTAACAATCGATTTTATTTAAAGACAAAATCAGTGGAGGGAGAAAAACTCGACTACATTTATGAATATTTATCTCTGTTGTTCTTTAAAATTATTTAACTACAGAGAGAGAAATTATAATTTGTGTAGAAAATGGAAAAGAATCCAAGTCAACTGACCCGGAGCCATTATAAACTTTAATAATAATGATTTATTAGCTCATTTAATGACCTATAAAAACTGGAATAAAACATAAAGAACAGACCAACAGTAAAACCCAGGGAGCGATTATGACTTAGCAGCTTTAACAACTCGGGCCGATTAAACTGACACTTTAAAGCAGCTCTGTTATTGTTCCACAGGTTACAGGAGGAAATGAACAATAATATGAATATTATGCAGAAAAAAACGGACAAATCGAAGCCTAAGTTTACAGGATGCAGAGAAGATATAAATCATCAGCACAGCCGCAGTTTGATGTGAATAAAAACTGGTTTTATTTTAAAACAGCCTCTCAGAGTCTACATGCACAACGTCAACATGTCAAACACGCTTTATTCACAATGAGAGAAGAAACGTCAGAAACCTGGTGGAGATGTCCAGAAAACCCGACCCAAACTAAACAGAACCGCTGGAGAAATGATCCGGACCTCAGAACAAATTCAAACTTAGAAAACTCAGTTTTAATGTCCGAATTGTTTCTTCACAATCAGGACCTTCAGTTACAGAGACAGAAAACGGACGAAGACCACAGACTGATTCCTGGTCAGACAGTTTGGATGTTTTCCACTGGTTTTATTTTAATTTGTGTCGTAAATATAGAAACGAGTTTCTGTAAAGCTGAATAAAACGGATACAGAAGAAGAGGCAGTGGAGCCACCATGTCCTGCTGTCTGTTTCTGAGTTTATGAGGTTCAAACAAAGTCCTGATCAGAAATTAGACATAAAGAACTGAAATAAGTCATTCAGCTGCTATAAATGTTCCTACATGTTAGTTTGGTTTCCACTTGTAAGGTTTTTTGTCATATTTTAGTGATCTCACTTGGTAGTTTTCACAGTAAATGGCTCACATTGACACCAGCAGTAACTAATGGAGCAAACTGCTGCTAAAGCTGAGCAGGTGTTTACAGAGAGGACAGGTGTTTGACAGGAAACAGCGCCACCAGGTGTCGCTACAGACGATATGTAATAATTAATGTGAGATAATATGAAAACACAGATTTCAGTTTCTCTGATTACATGAAGCCGCTCTGGTCAGACAAACTGGGATTCAAAAATAAAAAAGCTAAAAGCAGAAACATTAAAGAGATTTTATTATTTATTAAATTTATTTTTCCCTTCAGTTCCTGAGGAGAAACGTTTGACGTTTCGTCCTGGGGATTTGTTTCATACAGGAAGATTATTGGTGACGCACCACCTCCGTTTTGTATTTACGGAGCAAATAATCGTTTCTTTTTTGTTATTAATGTTCCAATATGAACATGACAATTTAAATGTTAATAAAACAATGTTTGCTTCACTAGCATGCAGTTTAAATCACTCTGCTATTTTTGAACAGGATTTGCTTTAATGGTAGAAATCCATTCTTGGCTAGCTGTTAGCCAAACCAGAATCTGGATCAATCTGAAAATGAAGACGGCAGTTTTCTGCATGTCAGAAATTAATTCATCTTACCGTAACAGAACTACATTTAAATATCCAGAACAAATCCGTTTTAACTGGAAACAAGGCAGAACAAGCCGTTTGGTGTCGAAGCTAACAGGCGTTTCGTTTGACATTTGTTGTACGTTGATTATATGTTTGGTCCAGAAAATGAGATAATTTAAAATTACTAATTTAAATAATCTTCCAGTTGTAGGAACATTTTTGCTAAACCGCTAATGTGAAGCTAATTTTTCAGTTTGTTAATTTTGAAAACGATTAGCACACTTAGCTTCCCCTGAATTAATTTTTAAATCTAACTTCTAAAATGTTAATTTATTCGCCTGTTTTTTAAACTTTCAGGTGAATAAAGTTTGACGTCTGTGTTGAAGTTTATTAAATAGTTTATATTCATGCTCGATTTTCTCTTTGTAGTTTTTCAAGAAACTTCATCGAATGTCAAATATACAAACGACTGAGAAAAATACAACAGTTACATGAGCAAACAAAGGGAGTTAGTTAAATAAATACATTTAAAAATACACATATATGTGACTTGTTTGGGGACACATGATGGCTGGTATTAGCATGGTGGAACGTAGCGCGTTAGCATTAGCTTCCTCTAGCACTGGCTACAGATGCACCAGAACTGAACTCATTTTTAATTAATGTAACTGTTTAGAGTCAGTAATTTTAAAATGCTTTATTTTATATCTTTTTCATCATTTTATTCTGTTGATCGTAACGTTTCATTTAAACCAACTGTTAAAGGTCCTGCTAGCGACGGATGTTATGAGTTAGCTATAAATACTGAGATTCAGGCTTAGATTGTCTTGATCTGTTTCTTGTCTCTGTCCCTGTCAAATAAACAAACTAATAAAAAAATACTGTGTTGGTGTAGCAGTTTACAGATAGCTGAGCTAATGGTTAGCGCTTTAGGGTTAGCGCTAATCATAAACACAAGTTAGCGATGCTCACTGCTGTAATCTACTAAGATGCTGATGATGGCACATTTAGTGAATTTTAAATGTTTTCAGTTTTGCATGTTGAGAATCACTTGTATAAACACATTATTCATAAACCGCCAACATTTAATCACAAAGAAAAGCTGCAGACGTTTCTGTATTTGCAGGAACAGGAATGATCTCTGCTGGAGAAAACATGACGAAGATCTGACTTGTTTATTGGGAACAACATGGAAAAGGACAATGATTTACATCAGAGTGACCCGTTGGGATCGTTACGGACATACCGACACAGAAACCGAGAACTGGCCTCAAGACTTCAAAACGTTAATACGACAAAAAATTTAATTAAAAATCAAAAGGCAGTAAGTTACCTGCACACCACTAACATCTTAAAGACACGTTTTTATTCCTGTCTATACCAGCAGGAAACGGCAGAGCGGGCTTCACACATTCCCAAAGGGAATTTCTCAGTGGGTTTCCATGTGCTTGGAATGTGTCACAGAGAAGAAAATGTAAAATTAAAATAATAAAAAACCTCTTCACAACATTCAAAGACCCTAAACTTCCTCCATGTCAAAAAGTCCTTTGTTATAATCTTCGAACAAGGATGCAGAAAACATTCCAGCCTCTGAGCCGTTAAACGCACTCCGCAGGTCCTCGCGCTTCCAAAAACGCCACATTCATCGTTTAACAGCGAGCGCGAGGTTTCCCGGTCAGCACCGACGGGACGAAGATGAGCCAGACGGAGTCCAAACATTTCCTGGTAAAAAGTTTAAACTACACCACAGTACACAGTTTTCACAAGTCATGCTAATTTACAAGAACTACAAGTCAGAACCGAAGCCAACGTAAAAACCTCCAGTAAAAACTACTTTAAAAAAACGATAACAATCCTTATAAATTATTAGCTTAGTGAAACGGAAGCCTTAACAGAGACTTTCAAACCAAAGAAGAAGAGCAAAAGAATCTATTGGACTGGCCGGCGCCTCAAAATGTTAAAAACAAACTAGTTTGGTGATCAGCTGCACGTTATTAGTAAGGAGCAGAACAGGCGGGGAAAGATTTTCATGAATAAAATGAATAAATATCACATTCCAGAGGGCAGACGCTGCTTCGTTTACCGGAAAGGTTTCAACAAAACGCAGGCGGTTGATTCAGCTGCTTGGAAAAGAAAAATCCACCAGGAAAAATAAGGCCTCTTAAATAAATATTCTTATTCTTCTTTTATTGTTTTTTCCCCCAGGAGAAAAAAAATGTCCCACTGACTGTTAAAAAAATCGGCATTCCCGCCTTATAAGAAAAATACTTATCAAAGAGAAGCGTCCGGAAACGAGGCTATACCATCCGGGAGTTCGTGTCCGAGGAAAAGTGGCCGAGGTTCTGTTTCTGCCGGCGGCCGCGGTTGTTCTTCGGACATTTCCTGGAAACACAAACCGAGAAAAAACAAACATTTATGACGTTTATCCTCCCAAAATTCAGTAAGAAGATTTTAATGCATCTTTATTTAAAATCGGATTGTAGATCCAGGCGAAGAATTTCTGATTATTTCATTTTGAGGATAAAGTCAAATTATGATGAGTTTAAAGAGGAAATCTCATTTTATGAGATTTAAAATAAAACATTAAATGAGCATCTTGTGAATTTATGCCTTAGTTTTACAAATAAAAATACTTTGAATCATTTAACAGAACTTTTTTCTCAGATTTTTATAACTTCACTGGTAATGTTGCATCTTTTTCTACTAATTTGACTTCATTGTCATTTTTTAAATCATTCTTTAGTTTTAATAAAACATTTTTAAAATTAGTTTTAATGTTTTTTTTGTAAAAGTAAAACTACAAATAATACTCCAAATATTATTGCAAACTTGAAGGTAACAGAAGACAAATAATGTATTTCAGTCTGGTTTTAAGGAAATTATTAACCGTTTATTTATTCAGTAAACATGTTTATTAATGTTTCCTGGTCCAGATGATGAGCTTTAGTCTGATGGTGAAACGTCGTTTCGGTGAAATCAGCTGTGGTCCTACCTGGTGATGCACATCACCACGGCGACGATGATGGCGATCTGCACGGCTCCGATGATGGCGGCGATCAGGACGTAGTGCAGCTTCTGTCCGCTGGGAACCACGTACAGGATGTTGAAGTCCTGCGGCTCGTCGCACTGCGTGCCTTTGTACCCGGCGTCACACCTGGACCCGGAAACACGCTACGTTAGCAACATGCTAACAGGCGAGCGTCAAAAAACAGCAGATTACTGCAGCAAACCAGCAGCAAACGAAGCACAAAATCAGAAAACACAAATTATTTCCACCATTTTGTGACTTTATTAATAACAGAGAATTAATTACCAAGCAAACAGGAGCTGAAACATAAAACAATCCAAAACTTACAGCCTTAGTGCACAAAGCAGCAAGTTTGATCCAAATCTGAGCTAAAAGTTGCGTTTTGGTGTTAAATCAGGTGAAGTTCAGGCTGACCTGCAGGTGGCCATGTTGTACTTGATCTCACATTTCCCGTGGACGCAGAACCCGGCGTAGCTGTCGGCGCAGGGGATCGGCATGCCGGCGTAGAAATCCTCGCCTTGGTCCAGACCCGCGGTTTCTGGAGAACCAAGGGATGAAGACACACGATGAACTTAACCATCAGAGCAGAGAGTTAGAAAGCCAGTTAGCTTAACCTGTTAGCATCACAAGAAATGTCAAAAATAATAAAATGACATGTCATCTTTGTGTTTGTTTCTAATTTACACATTTTAATATTTTACATGTCTTTGTGTTAAATATATTGCTTATTGAAGTTATTTTTCAAATGTTAGCAAAAGAGAGAGAGAGAGAGAGAGACAGAGAGAGAGAGAGAAAGACAGAGAGAGAGAGGGAGAGAGAGAGAGAAAGAGAGAGAGAAAGAGAGACAGAGAGAGAGAGAAAGAGAGAGAGAGAGAGACAGAGAGACAGAGAGAGAGAGAGAGAAAGAGAGAGAGAGAAAGAGAGAGAAAGAGAGAGAGAGACTCTGCCAGGTCTCTGTTTTATCTGCTCCTTCATGTGGGAGGAAAATAAAAACCAAATCCAGAACATTTTAGGATTTTTGGTGTTTTACTTGCAGAGGATTTTATAAAAGCTGAGATGTTTGTCAGAAAACTCTTCACCCGGTGGGTTTGTTTATAAAGCAAACACTTAAAAATAAAAATCTGGGCTCTTCAGGCGATAGGAGGCAACGGCTAGACGGTCAGTGAAGGTCAGTGAAGGTCAGCAGAGAGAAACGTTTTCCAGCAGCATCAGCAGCATTTCACTGGGTCTGAATGAGACTCTGAGCACCAAACGGCTCAGCAGGTGAAACTACGGGGGCCCTAAAGGCCCAAAGTTTAAATCACTTCTAAAACTTCATCCTGCGTTGACCTGAGTGAAACCGACTCACCTTCTTCACATTGGTGTCTAACGTTTGTGCAGCAAAAAATATTTGTTTGTGCTGCAATCGTTTTAAAAATCTGCTTGTTAACATGAGTTACTGTCGCTCAGCTCTTCTTCGTGGGTTTTGACAGTAAAGCATTTAACTGCAGTTTGTCCGTTAATAATTTAATAATCTGGTACAAAGACGTGTGACGGATCCGTTTGCTGGATGTTTCAGTCCTGAAAACTTTCCAGATTCGGTTTCATTTCCTCCCTGATCTGTAAATTCAATGTGCAGCAGGACAAATGACCCGGTTCTGCCAAGCTGGGTCCGTTTACTCAGGAGAGATGTTAGCATCGCAGCAGCAGCTCCTAAAAACTTTCACTTTATTTCACCATCAGAGCAGATTTACAGCTTCTGGTTCTCCTGTGAGGACTTTAACTGTGTATTAAAGAGATTTTCGTTTAGCTAACTGTTAGCACACTTAGCTTTTTTTCTGGATAAATTCTGAAGCTCTAATTTACTGAACTGCTCTGTAAACCTCTAGTTCAATAAGGTTTGATGTCTGTGTTTTGATTATCAACTAAAATTTATTCCAGTATTTTGACATTTTTATTCATGCTCTTATTTTGAAATTTGTTTTCTCTATTTTTCCACAATAACTTTATTTAAAACAAGAACCATACAGGAACAAAGTAAAACGCAAATAGCATTTTACTGTAGCATTAGCTTCTGCTAAATAGCATTGTAGCGTTTTAGCATTAGCACAGCTAGCTTGTTAGTTAGCGGTGTCCATCGCTGGCTTTAGAGAATCTAAAACCTGAATGTATTCTGGATTCAGACTTTCCAATGAGGTCCATTAGAGAGAAACCGCAGCATCACACGTCCTCCACCGTACCGAGGAATGAGGTGGAGATGCTTCTCCACACATTCAGATTAGCTTCTTCCACACAAAGTAAACACTTCCAGTTAAAGCCCCAGGAGAACTTCATTAAGACATCAACAGGCGTTATCTTAGGACAGGAAAGACTTTTTGCTAGCATGCTAATCGTTGTCATGGAGACAGGTGACCCCCAGAGGTCACTCTTCTCTGCAGTGAGCTTTACAGACGTTTTATTTTATCTCTTCACCGTATCTGGATCCAGGGCTTTTAATCGTTTCTCTGACTGTAGAAATGGACACAGAAAATGTTTGCTTGTTTTTCCCATTTTTAGGACGTTCAGCCGGACCCGATGCTCAGGTCAGACTTTTTGTGTCGTTTCATCCTACAAATTAAATGTGACTGAATCAGATTTCAGTGTGAACGGCTTACAACCCCAAAGTGACGTAAACCACAGAAGAAGAACGTAGCAGCTTCTGACCCGGTTCTGTTTGGATGTGGAGTCGGACCAGGACTGGTCTGGTTGGGATGTGATGCCTTCACTGACTCAGATTTCTGTTGTAATGTCCTGTTTATGTCCAGATTTACTGTCTGTCTTCTTCTGCTGTAGATTATGACACGTTTCATGTTGGTGGCGTAAAAATTGGATGAAATGCAACGCGAGCGTTCAGACTGCAGATGAAATGAATTATATTATCTGATTGAGGTTAGAAGTGACACAAATCAGATGTTTTGTGTGTGAAATTCAGGATTTATCTGCTGTGTAAACAGAGAAATAAGCTTCTCCGTCGGTCAGGAGAAGGTGAAGGAAGAACCAATAAATCCTCCAGTTATATTTATTTAATGTGAACCGTTTGGATTACAGGTTTATTTCCACAGAGGTTTGTGTTTGTTCCGTGTTCGGTCCAACCTGAACAGAACCGGGCGGGCGGCCGATGAGACCCAGACCGGTCCAGGTAAACGCGGCGGCGGCCTCACCTAACACGTTGACTTTGAAGGGGCCGCTGTCGTCCTTCTTCCCCGGCTTTTCTTTATCCGCTGTGGGAAACAGAGAGAATCACATTCAGACACAAACGCTTCGTTTTCTCCAGCAAACACCCAGCGCCATTACATCACAGAGTCTGTCTGAGACGCTTCAGTCGGACTCTGCTGTCATCGTCTGACCGCCTGACTTCCTGTCTGCTGTCTCTGAATCTGTGTGTGTGTGTTTCTTTTAGGTCAAAATAAAAGGAGAGGAAGACGACAGGGGATGTTTACTTGCAGCCTGAATCACACCCTGTTCATCTGAATGGAGGTGGTGATGGGTCCATCTCAGACGACGTGTGTGTGTGTGTGTGTGTGTGTGTGTGTGTGTGTGTGTGTCAGAGAGTGACGGGTGAAAACAAACAAAGCAGCAGCAGCAGCAGCTTGTGTTGGCAGAGCTGCTGAGCGGGCGTCATGCTCTCTCGCCGCCTGCAGGAGGAGCTGCTCAGAATCTTAACCAGCCTCCATGTTGCTTTTCCCTGTCAGCTTTGACAGGAAGCTCTGCTTCATGTGTGTGTTTAAGACTGAACACACACATGAATAAACTCTGGTTTTATTTCTTGGAACCTGATCAGATGTGGAGCTGAAACTTCAGGGTCTTTGGACAATATCTGGATTTGCAGATTTTTGTACTTTGGATGTTTCTGCTGCAGCTGGTTTCTGGGTTTTTAACCTGAACCTCTATAATACATGATAATACTGTGGGCTACCGTCTAGTTCACTGTTTGCTCATTTACGAGGACATAATTAAAATGTATTTGATAAATATTTCTCTGTGAATTCTAATCTAAAATGTCAAACATCCAGTCAAATTAAGTTTGTGGCAGATTTCAGCAACAGGGCAGTAAAACCTCAAAAATAAAAAGTCAAAAGATTTTACTGCATCGTCGTCGTTTGTTTTTAATCAGTTATGAAGCAAAACCTGAAACTGCTGCTGCGCAAGTTACAAGGCAGGTTGTTGCTAGGTAACCGAACAGTGAGTTGCTAGGTAACCGAAGAGTGAGTTGCTAGGTAACCGAAGAGTGAGTTGCTAGGTAACCGAAGAGTGAGTGAGTTGCTAGTTTCCACCTCTATTACCTCTCACAGCTAGCTTGCTAAGCTTACTAGCTCACTAAGCTAGCTGTGAGAGGTTTAGCAGCTAATGTCTTTCCTCTGCCTACATCACCCAGAATGCTGTGTTGAGTTTTATTGAAGATTCTATCCGATGGATTATCTATTGAAATTGATCAGGTATTTATCGCGATACATATTATCGATTTCTTGCCCAGTTCTAGTTTCTAGCCGTGTAAAGACGCTGAAACCTCCTTTAAATCAAAGCCAAACACCGACCTGATTAGATCTACCTCTGATTAAAATAACTGTGATCATGTATTTGATGTGATAACGTTGATTTATTGCTCGTTTCATGGCTGGTTCCTGAGATGTTTTATGGAGTGAAACACTCTGAACCGCCTTCCTGCTGAAATGTGCGGCACTAATAAACCTGACTGGAGTGTTTGGTCGATACGACGCTCATTTCAACACTCGACTCTGATCTGCATTAAAAATACATGAGCAGCAGAAACTGGGGAAACTCGATGAGATCCGCCGCACTTTTCAGGAATCCCAGCTCTGCTGCTGTCAACGTTCTCAACAAGGCCGCCGCCTCACGTTTACTCACTCCAACACCAGGAAGTGGAGGAAAAACCCAGAAACATGTCTGTTAGATGAGAGGATGAAAGAAAAGACGAGTGACATGGTGAGGATGAAGGGATGAAGCAAAGACAAAGAGCAGGGTGAGATATTGTCAATATTTCCTCCTGAGCGATGCAGCATTAAAAATGGATGAGTGGGTTTGGTTTCGCTCTGCAGCTCTGGGTGGGTCGATCCGAGGCTCCAGCTCTGCAAACCGAGGAGAAAAATCTGGTTTTGTTCCAGTTGAACCAGGCTGTCATCTCAGCTCTGATTACGGTTTTATTTCTGTTTAACCAGAGGATCATTCATTTCCACTGCAGAGCAACACGTTTACAGCAGCAGACATGTTGGTTTCTGCATGAATGAGTGAAAATGAGGCTGCAGCATTTCAGGATAAACTAACTGAAGCTGCTCTTCCTTTATACATGTGAACAAAACTGTTGATGTTCCACTAATGTGGAAAAACATAATTTCACAGCCGAAATGTTTCCATTAAATAAGAAACCATATTAAAGTCACACATGAACAATCAGTTTGTTCGCAGGATAAGTCGTTAAAAAACATGGCTACCTGTCATCCTCCACCACTTCCTGTCGTCTTCTTTGTCGTTTCCAGCAGTAGTAACATCCTGTTGTTGATCATGTGACTCGTGATGCAAAATAACTGTTTCCATTGCAGTTTTGCTGAAAAATCATTTCATCCAAGCAGCAAAACTTTCTATCAAAAAACGCTAAAATTGGAGTTTTTCCTTTGAGCGAATTTATTTTTGTAATCAACAAATGTAAGGTCGATGGAAACGCTGCTGTTTGGTGTTTATTCTTAATATCTGATGTTTTTAATGTCTTTCTACAGGCACTTTGAACTGTCTGTGTCTGCTGTGTCTGAAAGGTAAATAAACCTAAAAGTAACCTGTAACCATGGTAACCAGGGGCTGTGATGCGTGTTGCTAATTTGCTGCTCTGAATGTTGTTTTTATAAGAAGATAAATTAGAGTTTGACGAAGCTTTAGTCAGATCCTGACCCATTTATAGGTCTGGATCAGATCTATGAATGTCTCTCTATGTTATTTCTCCATTATCTGCTTCCTGTGCTTCGGCTCCTTCACGCCCCAGTGCTGGCCCGACGCCCTGAAGTGACAGCCGATCAGAGCGGAGGGGGCAGGTGCTCATCACCTCAGGGCATTACACACCCACATACCCCCCCCTCCTCCAAATGACACCGTCCAATCAGCTCACAGCCGCCTTAAAGCCACAAACAGTGACAGGAAATCCATAAATCTCTGCGTGTTGCGATCAGCGGCTCGGAGGAACGGCCGCGGCGGCCGGCACTTTGGGATTCTAGGTGAGTCTGAAGCATAAATCTGATGTGAGCCGCAGCGGGCCGAGCGACTCTGGGCGTTGGCTCCGGCTTTGAACAACATCAGACATCAAGCTGCGGCTGCAAATCAGGTTTGTATGCAACACTCGCACCTCAGAGCATCAAAGCCGCTCTGACTCATTCTTCTGCATATTTTAAAACCTGACATCAGAGAGCGGCTGGAAGTGTAAAAACTGCTGAAGTAACTGCAGATTTAATCCACTGGAGTCGTTTCTCTTGTTAATGGTGAGGTTAATGAAAAAGCCAAAGGGTATCTCCGCTCCGCAGCGACTCAACAGACACTCAATCCGTCTTAACCCTCTAAATATTCCTGCACTCTAAAAACCTGACACTCAGCCAGACCCGTAATCCGTCCATCGTGTCTGGGATCACAGCGATTCATTCATCTGGTGGCAGAAAGAAAGGGCAGGCTGGCGTTGCATTCATGTCATAATGTTCATTAAACTCAGATTTATCCCTCAGATTGAGAGGAAACTCGTTTCATATCTGCCGTTTCTCAGGTCGTTAAGGACCTGAGGTGGAAACATTGGTATGAATGTAAAAAGGCTTTAAAACTTTATTGTTTAATTATCATTTACATGCAACATTATCATGCATTGTTTTAGCTTGTAAAGCACTTTGTGCCGCCTGAGTTATTAGAAACAGAATAAATAAAGTTGACCTTTAACCTTCACGGTGCTGCAGAGTCGTCAGACTTTGTCTTTTATGGATCAGTAAACAAACAAACCGGGCTGAAATGGACCAAACATTCAGGAGGATTCAGAGTTTGGTTCTGCTAATCCGCTAACAACAGAGCTAATATGTAACTTAGCTAACTATGAAAACATTTAGCACACTAGCTGATTCATTTGGCTGTTTCTGTAGCTGCATTTCATTTGACCATAAAAATGCAGAAATTAGAATAACAAACATAAATTTGCTCAATGGCAACAAAGCAATTTCAAAATACAAATATATGTCAGAAAAGTGTCAACATCTGTTGCCATTTTTAATGAACAAACTAACAAACACCTCAAATGCAAAGTTTAGTTTTTTTATCATTATGGAAAAGGTTTTGCACACATTTGAAATGGAAACACAGTTAATGACACATGGTGGTTTTCAACATGTTGCTTTAGCTTTAGCAGAACTAATGTTTCTGATTAGCGCTTTAGCGTTAGCACAGCTAACCTTTTAGCTAGCGGTTCCCACCACTGAGTTTGACCATATGGCCAATTAAAAATGAAAATTTATTAAATTTAAGGTGAAATTTTTGAAGTTTGACTTAAAAAACCTCCAAACATCTGTCACTAAACAATGGCTCAGTCTGTCCTTTTGTCTTTTCTCCAGCTTCTTTGTTCATAAATCTTCATTTGTATTTAATTTTCACCGCTTCATGCAGAGCGGTTAGCGACATGCTTTTCAGTTTTCCTCAGTTGACACTAATAAAATCATTTTTTACGTCAGTCTGCAGCACTTAACGCTGAGGTAACAGTTTTACAGTACAGCAGCTCATCAGCTTTTCCAGTTTTATTTGGCAGAAGCCAGAGAAGCAGATAAATAGGAGCAAATGTTGGAGCTAATTAGGTGGACATTCTGCTGTAAGGGAACAATCAAGTTCCTCTTTATCTGCTGGATCAGAGAATGAACATTTGTTTGCACCAACATGGAAATACGCCAATGTTTCTTTTGTAAGCTGTTAAAATAAATCCTGCATTTTCCAGCAAACCAAAGTGCCTGAATGTCAGACATGATGTTAATTCTGCAGTCAGTTTTCCAGAACCTTCCCTCTGTGTCACGTTGACGAGGTTTGCATTAATAACTCCGTATTACAGCCTGCATGCTCGGTTCGCTTCCTAATTGAAAACGCCGGCGATCAGACGCATTAATTTGACTGACATGGTTTCAGTAACGAGACTGATTTATTAAACCGTCACGGTTCTGCAGCCAGCAGAGATCAGCAGGAGACGAGCGCCGTCCTCCTGCATCTGTAAATCTGTGTGAAGTTAGAAAACATCTCAGGGAGAAGATGAAGGAAGCTGGAAAATGATGAAATCCTGTTTGAAACTCAGCTACTCTAAACAACCTTTAGCTCCTTCTTCAGGGCTACAAAGCTTTGCCAGCCCAAACGCTCGTTAGCACAAACAGGAAATCAGCCAATCACAACGCAGCAACTCAACGGACTGAGGAGTCTGGACATGAAGACGACGGGTTGATCAGTTCAGGATGCAGAAGAAAGCAGATCTAAGGGACTTTGAACGTGGTTCGGTTGTCGGTGCCACACTGTCTGATCTGAGGAGTTTCTGCTGATCTGATGGGATTTTCACCAACAAACTTCTCAGGATGAAAGAAGAGAAAACATCCAGTGATCAGCAGATAGTTTGGTTCCACAAGATAAAAAGGCGAAAAAAACTCAAAAAGCACATCAGATGTTAGCTGGGAACAGGAAACTGAGGCTGGAATAAATGACAACCTGCATGGTGGCGGCGGCATCATGCTGCGGGAGAATCTATTCTTTGGCACGTTTTGGTTCATTTATTACCAAATAAACATGTTCATCATAAAAACCTCCTGTAAGATTGTTGCTCACCATCTGTGACAAACTCCCAGCATCATAACTCAGCCAGTCACAACAGAAATTATTGCAATAAACAATAATATTGTCGTTTCAAACCATGTTTTGATTACACCCTCTGAAAAATCAAAAACTTTAATTCCTAAAGAATATTTAACACTGAAACTGGAAAACATTTTAAATATCCAAAAATAAACAAGTAAAACAACAATAATTTAAATGAATTATGAGATCTTTGATGGAAATCTTCGTTCAGCTTTGACAGGGAAAACAGGCTAAAGGGGCAGGTCATGCAAGCTGGCTACTTTATACTGGGTGCCAATTTTTTTGCAGCATTTTTCAACATTTTTCAGTGATATTGAAGGGCAGCATCTCTTTGACTGTAGTCCACATGGAAATTATAGATTTTATTTTAGTTTATCATGCAGCTGATTGATGAATTGCTTACTGGGATATGTTTAGTCGTGACAGCGTTTCGCACAGATCAGATCAACTCAACTTGATGCCACTAGAGTCCTTTCAGTCCCTGAAAGACTCATCTTCTCTGGTCTTAAAACGTGTTTGGCGCCGTTAACGGCCTTGGACTAGACCCCATGAGGTCAGAGATGGATGTAAGCTCTAACCAGAAGAGGTTTGGTGTTCAGTCTGTGCCTGAGAAGAACTGCTTTTCACGAACGGACATTTCCAGATGTGTTCTGTGCCATAAACGTACCGAGGCAGCGTCCCAGGTGTTTGACGTCGATCTGCTCCTGCTTCATGCACGAAGCCTCCCGCACCAGGCACGGGTTGTTGTACGAGTTTCCGTCTGTAGCGCAGACCGGGTTCTCATTGTGGCCGCTGCAGTCAATGTTGCATATGCACCTGAGGGCAAAGGTCAACCATCAGAACAATATCCCAGGAATGACTCACAGCACCACAACATTCAGATTATTTTAACTTAAAGCAACATTTCATGTTTCTGTGCAGCTTAATCCAAAGTTTGGATCCATCTTCTTCCTTCAAACATTAAGCTAACTCGCTAATATCACAATATGCTTCATCTGTTCATTTAATAGTCACCTAAATATGTTTTTAGTGGCAGTAAACAGCAGAGACACACTTCTGCTAATTTTACTTTTAGCTAACTTTGAAAATGTTTAGTGAACTTCGTTTTCCCTGAATCAGATTCTAAAGAGTTAAATTATTTTGGCTGCTTTGTAAACTTCCAGTTGAATAAAGTTCAACTTCTGTGTTGAAGTTTTGGTTATTAACTTAAGAATGCTTTACTCCTTTTACACACATGCTTTTATTTTGAAGGCTGATTAAGCAGGCGTTCCATTTCCTCTCCTCAAAAACTTTATTTAAAACAAGGACATGACAAATAAACTAAAAACATGGACAGCAGAGATCAAGAAATAAACACATCTAAGGGAATTATAAAATATATAATAAATATAACGTCAAAAATAAATTTAACCCTGAGAGTTAGTCTTTCAAGAGAAGATGTAACTTGAACTTAAGTTAGCAATTTAGCATTAGCATTTGGGTAAATACAGTGTCCATGTAGCATTTTAGCATTAGCAAAGCTAATGTTTACGAGTAGATTAGCACAGCTAACCTGTTAGCCAGCAGTGGTGACATAATGAACCAATGAAAGCTTTTGCTCACCAGACATCTTCGGAGTCTTCATCACATTCGGCTCCATATTTACACGTGCTGCACTTGGTGAACTTCTTCCCGACGTCGGAGGCTGAGCCCTCATCGTCTGTCAGACGGGCAGAGAAGGAAAACGCTTCAGGAACAGCTAACACTTCTTCACACTCCTGCCTACTAGGCTGAACTCTATCCTTTACTGAGCCTCGTAGAAATATTCACACCCCGTCACATCAAACCACAAACTGTGTGTTTGTGCGCTCTCAGTCCAGACCCGCTTGTCCTCTTCATCCCTCTAATGCCATATGGCGGCAGCCATCACTGGGATGTTTCTGTGGACTTCAGGAGGCCCAGTCTGTGACGGAGGAGAGTTTCTTCCTCCGCTTCCTGTGGACGATGTGATGAATCCAGCTGGTTGTTCATCAGTTGTGTCTCAAAGTTTCTAGCCCAGCTGAGAGCATCTTCTGCTACAGAGGATAATAACTTCCTGTCCAGGAAACCAACAGCTTTCAGAGGGAAGCTGATTTCCAGCAGATTATGAAGGTCACTCTGCGTTTTTCTACTAGCAGGAAAATGATAAAGGCCCTGAAAACACCAACAGGAAGCTAATAAACCTCAATGTTTGGTTTATTAAACTTTATCTTCCAGTCTGGATCTTTGATGTTCTATAAAAGCACCAGAAGAAAAACTTTCAGAAGTTTCATCTGTTTCCTCAAAGTCAAACTAAAGCTGAAGGAAATCCATCATCCTTCACCTGTGACTGTTTCTGGTTAAACTGGTTTTAATTTCCCCTCCTGTCGGATTCTGCTCCGCCGCCTGCGCAGCTCTTTATTTTTCCAGATCTTCATCGCTGAACGTAATAATCAGCTTTTTATTTGTTCTGCCTCTTTTCCAGAAGAGTGGCTTAATTTCATTTTGAAAACAACCTGCAGCTCGCTCCGGGTTTTGTTCTGGTTAGCGGCGCCTCTTCCCGCCATCGAGACACGCCACGGCTCAGGCGCTTTCCTATCAGACACAGCTGAGCGTGTGGAGAGGCTGCTCAGGCTTATCGGCCAAATGGAAACAGAGGCGCCACATCATCATCTGATATTGTTATTATCATTACGCCGTTTAATGCCACCTCGCATGGCGACGTCCATTCTCCAGCAGCGAAGCGCTAACAGCCGCGGCGCCGAGTACCAAAGAGCCGCAGGGATTATTCAGGGCTGCCTTTCATCAGCAGAGCCATTTTCATGATTCATCAGGTGCAATTTTGTTGTAAAACAGAAGAAAAGCTGAATCCTGCAGGGAGAAGGAAACTAATCCACAGCAAAACGTAGAAACCAGGAAACGGAGCCTGGAGGTTTAGGATTGTTGCCTTAGAAAAGCAGTGAAACCCGATGGAGGAGTGAGATTCTCTGCATGTGTTTCAGGTCTTCTGGGCTCCAATTTCCTTTATTTATTCATTTTTTGCATATAAAAGTTTCAGCAGGAACTTTTATATTGTGTTTCTGGTACACCGTAAATCCACTGAGAACAGCAATAAACAGCGAAGCTGCTTCTCCAGGAGGTTAATGATGAAAAACCCTGTTACTGTGTTCAGGTTGTGCTAAAAGGAGTTAGCATCTTAATGCTAACATGTTGCTAATGCTAATGTCCGCGTCCACAGTCCATGTTTCTGAAGAAGCTCCATGAACGATCAGGACTTCAAGAAACTCTGGAAATATGAACTTTGCTCCAATCTGATGGCTGAAAAAAGTGTAAATATCTTTGTTTTTATTTTGTAAATTCAAAATTTACCATCAAAAAGGCTTTTTGAATTGAAAATGTTGCTCATTTTGTTGATATATAGTTTCAGTAGAATAGGATTAATTACTTACTGGCCCTAAAATTAGCTGTATTAGTTTTTAATCCCGTTCCAACACTAGTTTTTATCTGAAGCACGTTTTACATCGAGTCTTTGCTGTTCCACATTCTGGGAACAGAAAAGGATCAATTCCTGGAAATACGCAGCAGAAACGAACATTTAGTTCCTGAAGGTCGTGAGATCGTTCTGCTTTATTTCCATTCCAATCCTGGATGAAATGTTTCAGTTACTGCATCTGAAAAATTAAAGCAAAACAAAATCAACACACAAATCGAAGCAGCTAAACTGCAGAGGTGTTCACAGGGCCTTTCTGCTGCTTTAAGAGCAGCAGCGTGATTAAACTCTCTCGGTGTGTGTGTGTGTGTGTGTGTGTGTGTGGCTGACAGATTGGCCTGCTGTGTGTGTAGCTATCGAACATGGAGGGCTCAGTCGGCGTTCCATCGATTGACGCGGATCTGCAGCCGAGCGGCGTCTTTGTTTCTGCTGACAGCAGGACGCCGCTGCTTCCTCTCTGACTCCTGTTGTTGTTTCCCTCTTTGCTCTCGCTAATATTTGCCTCCTGGCTGAAAAAGGTTCTTCTGTTCAAGCGTTAAACCCGGCCAAACACAGATTCTGTAGCCTAAAACAGATGCAGCTTATTATCACCAGGTTTGGGTCAGCAGCTCACAGACTTCCTGCAGAGAATGGAAATCACCGGCATGATGCTCACGACCCTGAACAACATTATGGCTTTAAAGTTTTATTAATATCCAGCTCAGAAAACGCCTAAAAGACTCAAACTGATGTTTATTTTATGCAAAGTTTGCCTCTGACACAGCTGGGAACCGCTGCTGCGCACAAATTTAAATAATTTTAAATAATTTAATAAATAACATGAGTTAAAAATAACCTGGGACGTGGATGTGAGCCTGAAGGAGCAGCAGGAAGTTCTGGTTTCTGGTCCAAAGCAGAACAAATCATCCAGAACGAAGTCAAACCATGGAGAAAATACTCTGATCGAACTAAATCTGAACCTGCAGCCACGACTGAAAAAGATAAACGTCACAAAAACAACTGAAAACCTTCCATCACATTCACAGTGAAGCACGGGGGAGGCAGCATAGTGATCTGGGATTAGGTTTCTCTAGAAAGTTGAAAATGGATTTCAGTTTTTAGAAGAAGTGACCAATGATTAGTCCAAATCGAGAAAAGATTAAAGTTTTGAAGGTCCTAATCAAAGCCCAGAACTAAATCTGAGAGGAATCACCTGAGATAGAGGATTTTATCACAACCTGACAGATTTAATCTGCTCCTCAACCATCAAGTTGGTGCAAAGTTCGTCTTTCCAGAGTTCCAGGAAGCCCTGATCAGTCATGGAGCCACTTTAGAAATGTGGACGCTGACATCAGCATTAGCTGCTACATGTTTAGCACTGACATGCTAATTAAGGCTTAGATTAGCTTAGCTGACAGGCTAACTCTGTTTAGCACACTGATAGTCTTTTCCAGCGAACAATTTTGCTGATTTTTTTCTGCAAAAATTTATTTTTGAAGCAGAAATTAACCCTCAATATGCTGAGAGAAGCAGTTCTGTCGTCCATCACTGCTGTTTAAGGATATTGCTTGCGCATTATGAGTGTACCAGAAACACAACAATACAAAGGTTCCGCCTGGAACAATTGTTTGTAAAACATAAGGTTTGTGCAGCACTATTTTAAACTTAATAAAGATGTAAAATATGTTTTCATTCCCATGACCAGGCGTCACTGAGTTCATGTTCTGGTTTAGAGCCGTTTATCCGCTAATTCTCCAACAGTTGAAGCAGCAGAGTTGGAGGCTGTTTCAGTAATTAATCTCAGAGGTTTGACTGTTTCATCGCAGCGGCTCGTCGGCCCGCCGTGCAGATGGAGGAGGCAGCGCGTCTCCAATAAAACCTCCCTGCAGCAGCCAAATTAAACAGCAAACCATGTGGCCGTCCTCACAGGTGGCTGCAAAATGTCTCTGTTGCCAAATTTGGCATCGACGACGCTTCCATCTCCGCAGGACGGAGAGATTCGCTCCTCTGGGACGACTTAGCGGCTCCTCGCAGGATTCACTGCTGCAGTTAATATGCATCAGAGGAGGCGCAGAAACACACAGCCGCTCCTCCTAACGCAACACGCTCAGACCGGCAGCAGCCACTGCTTGTGCAGAGCAGACCAAGACTCAGCTGTAATTGATTTCTGTTTGACTTTCAGTCACAGCAGAAGTGAAGCAGGAAATGAAATCTTTAAATAGCCCAAAGAAAAAACCCAACAGAGTCTCACCGTCTCCGTCTCCTGAACCAGAACCGGGATCTGTGAAGACAGAAGAGACACGCAGCGGTCAGACGTTTCCTCTGAAGGTCCTGATTCTCAGGCCAGCGGCCGGCTAACCGTTACTCTGCTAATGCGCTAACAGCAGAGCTAATTTTAGCTTAGCATCTTTAGTAACTTTGAAAATATTTAGTGAACTTAGCTTAGAGCTTAAATGTTTCTGTTTCAAAGAATCATTTCCTAACTGTACAGGTGGGGGAGCAATTATGGGATGTCGTTTCTAAAGATACACAGTCAAGAAATTACAGCAATAATTTGGGTTATTTGGTTTATAACAAAAAAAAGTTAATTTTTAAAGTCATGTTTTCATCATAATTCACCAGTAATTTATAAATGTCAGTTTCAAGCTAAATATTTAGTTTGAAACAAGATATTTACCTCACTAAGTATTTAGTTTGCTAAGTGAAAACTTAATCATAGATTTATTGTTTTAGCATTAGCTTCTGCTAAATAGCATGTAGGTGTCCAGTGCAGCTTCTTCCAAATTCAACTCAATCAGCAGAAAGACGGTTAAACCCCGACCACAGCGAGGCGACCTTAATGGACCAGAACCGGTTCTGGATGGGATAAAAACCGACTTGTGGTCTGGTTGGCTCAGACCTGCAGCTCCATCAGGAAATGGAGCGCCTGCTCCAAACTTGGCTCTGATGCACTGAATTAAAGAAATGAAGGCAGGACTGGGAGTTTCTGGCACGGCGGTGTCGCATTAAGAAATGGACTCCAGCTGCTTTCTTCCATTAAACTTCACCTTTCTTCGTCACAGAGTCCACAGGAAGTTGTTCTTCATCCGAGGAGGGCAGAAACAGTCGGACACTTTCGTGGCTTTGCCAGCACGGCTTATTGATCTAATGTGAGAATTTGGCTTAAAACTTGCAGGTGAAACTCGGCTTCAGTCTTTTGGAAAGAAAAATATCAAAGATCTGAGTGAAAAATGGCTGAGTTGTTATTGATTCCCTGCAGGCAGATTTACTGATGAAGCAGCAAAAACAGCGACTGCAGAGTCTGGAGGGAGCAGGAAGAAAAACACAGAGAGAAACTCTAACCGCATAAAACCAGATGAGACAAACAAGTTTATATTTATTTTAAATAGATGAAGCTGACATTCTGCAGCTTCAGTTCACTTTTGTTTTATCACTAATCTGCTTCCACTTAGTCCTGTAGGATTAAACTGAAAGGCAAACAGCTGCAGAATAAAGACTGAATGTAAAACACAGTGAACGCTGAAACGATGGGTTAGAGACGCAAACAGGTGTTTCACACAGACAACTCAATAAAAACAGATGGAAAAATCAGAGCAAACGTTATAAAGAATCTGTCCGGGTCCAAACCAGAGTCTGAACGAAGGAGACGACAGCTTTCAAACGGCAGCGTCGACATGTGGGCTGAACTCGGCAGAAACCATTTCATTTGAATTAGTTTGTT